TTTACGAGACTGAGCTGAATACAGCACCTCAGACTGAGGAAGTCTCTTGGATGAGAGACGAAACGTTTCTAGATTTTTTTTTGCTTTGTTTTGCTTTTGTTTTTTTTGAATGTCCAGAGGACCAGATTGAACTTTTTTGGATTTTTCTACCTGGATTATTGAGCATGCATCAGGATATTCTTAACTATTCTTTTGCTACTTTTGGCTTTTAACCAGTATGTAGCTTTTTTTAGCTAATTTTGCTTCTTTTAGCTTTAACAAATCAGTTTCAGCTTTTTTTTAGATTTATCTATAATTCAGTGTTCATTGACGCTGGATTCGTGCAGAAAATAAATTTTTTTGAGTTATAACTGTTTTCATTATAAGGCCAGAATAAAATGGATGATGTTTAGATGCCTTTGTTAAATTTTGACTTGTGCAGAAACATTTTGATCTGTAAACTACAACATTTGAAATATTCAAGTATGTATTTTTTATATGTACATAAACCAACACTAAGTTTTCCCCATGTTTTTTTATGTTACGCAATTCTTCTAAATTTAATGACTTATCAAAGTATGTAGAAGAGTTGTGCCATGAGAGCTTAAAGTATTCATTTTTATGTCAGATACCATAAAGCACTTATAATTGAGTATTCTCTAAAAAAAGTACAGGAGTATTTTTTTTACTGTTCCCTAAATGCATTCAGGTGATTTTGTGATGCACATTCTGTTTCCATTTGCTTAATTCTATAATTTTTCTAAATTCAACGACAAACATTAAATTGCTTTTCATACTAATTTAAGACTGAAACCTTTTTTCTGTCTATCCGTCCATCATCCATCCATCTATCATCCATCCATCCGTCTATCCATCCATCCATCTATCATCCATACATCCGTCTATCATCCATCCATCTGTCCGTCTATCCATCCATCTGTCCGTCCATCCATACATCCGTCTATCATCCATCCATCTGTCCGTCTATCCATCCATCCGTCTATCCATCCATCTGTCCGTCCA